AAAAAAAAAAAAAAAAAAAAAAAAAAGAAAATATAGGGAAAAAATAAAAGTGGAGTTTATTTTACTTTACATTTTATTTTGATTCAAGTTAATATTTTGTTTTTGAGACAGGATCTTGCTTTGTCACTCAGGATGGAGTGCAGTGGTACAATCACAGTTCACTGCAGCCTTGAACTCCTGGGCACAAACCATCCTCCCCACTCAGCCTCCTGAGTAGCTAGGACTGTAGGCTTGTGCCACTAATTTTTTTTTTTTTTTTTTTTTTTTAGAATGAAAAGAGTCTTGCTCCATTCTAAAAAATGGAGTTGCCCAGGCTGGTGTGCAGTGGCATGATCTTGGCTCACTGCAACCTCCACTTCCTGGGCTCAAGCAGTTCTCTTAGCTCAGTCTTCCAAGTAGCTGGGATTACAGGCATGTGCCACCATGCCCAGCTAATTTTTGTATTTTCAGTAGAGAGGGGGTTTCACCATGTTGCCCAGGGTGGTCTCGAACTCCTGACCTCAAGTCATTACAGATATGAGCTACTGCACCCAGCCACCTGGCTAATTTTTGAAAAGTTTTTTGGTTTTGTTTTTGGTTTTTGGTTTTTGGTTTTTTTTGCTTTTGAGACGAAGTCTCGCTTTGTTGCCTAGGCTGGAGTGTAGTTGCTGGGTCTCAGCTCACTGCAGCCTCTGCCTCCTGGGTTCAAGCAAGTCTCCTGCCTCAGCCTCCCAAGTAGCTGGGATTATAGGCGCCTGCTACCATGTTAAAAAGTTTGTTTGTAGAGACATATGATCTCACTATGTTGCCCAGGCTACTCCCAGACTCCTGGCCTCAAATAATCCTCCTGGCTTCCTAAAGTGCTGAGATTACAGGTGTGAGCGGCCACCCCCAGAAAGGAAACTGAAATTTAATAACCAAGTTAATGCTGTGGTAATTAACTAAATTATAAGGTCTTTTAAAAAGCAATTTAAAAAAATTTTTCAAAGAAACTTAACAACAAGCACCTTATTGTTTAAATTGTCAAAGCTTCATCACTTCCCATAATCTTTGAGAAAAGAAATTAATGAAATATTTTACTGAGTTGTATCTTTATATGCTCTTGGAATTCATCAGTGGCTACTGTACTAAACATGATATTGAAAAGTAGTTCAATTTCCATAAAAAAATCTTTTTAAAATAATTAATTAATTCATTAATTATTTAAAGACAGATTCTTGCTCTGTCACCCAAGCTGATTGTAGTGGCATGATCTCAGTTCACTCAACCTCCGCCTCCTTAGTTCAAGCTATTCTCCTGCCTCAGCCTCCCAGGTAGCTGGGACTATAGACACACACCACACCCAGCTAATTTTTGTATTTTTAGTAAAGATGAGGTTTCACTATGTTAGCCAGGCTGGTCTGGAACTCCTGACGTCAGGTAATCCACCCACCTTCTCTCAAAGTGCTGGGATTACAGGCATGAGCCACCACACCCAGCCAAAGAAATTTTTTATTAATTCAATGTTAAGAAAAAAGCCTTGTACTTCCTCTGAAACAATTGATAGACTTATTCCTCTATAGTAATAAAAATTATGTAGCTGACCATATTTTGCTGACTTTAAGGAAGCTCAAGACCAAATTTTCAAGATCTGTCGCAGCAGCTATCTTGACCTTTATGACTTATTTTTAGGTCTTCTATGTATACTTTATTATTTCATTTTATATACTTCTTGTTAAAAGTGTCCTCATAAGTCTTTATGGAAAGAAACAAGACATAATTATTTTATAAACAAGCAGGAAATTTAGGGTGGGAATTAGGTTTGATTCAACCAAACTAGCCATTTGAAAAATTATTATTATTTTATGTTAGTTCTAATAGTGCCTTTTACATTATTTCTTATTTTGTACTCTTTAAAATGTTTTCTTTCAGAGTGGGCTCCACCTCAACCAGAATATTTATATCAACCTACAGGAAATGAAAAGGTACCAGAGATTGTAGGAGAGGAAAAAGGAACAGTTGTCTATCAATTAGATTCAGGTACTGTCATTACGCTGAACACTGAGTGGTTAATCATGACAAAGTTATAATAAACATATTTTCCATAATAAAAATTAAAAATCCATGGTTTAGTGATAAATTCATTTCCAGGCCAACCTGAGTGGGAACCTGGAGGAGGAGTCATAACTAGTCTGCTGTAAAATTTTGATAATTTTCTAAAATCGAAGTACATTATTCTTAATAGTTCTAAGTCCATTTGACAGCTTCTCCCTTGTTATTCTCCTTCCTGAAAATCAGATGTTGAATCATCTTTGGGGAGATTATTCTTCTTTTCTCCACCTCCTGAATGTACTTTAGTGAGTACTTTGTTCTGTATGCATATGACTGTCATTTAGTAATTTGGTTTCCTGCATTGAGTTTTAAGCTTCTAGGGGTTGACTATATGTCTTTTATAGAAATATGCGGAACAGCATACCCAACAACAACAAAATACACACTTTTCTCTTCACCAGTCCTACTGAAGTCACACACCTTTTTTTTTTTTTTTTTTTTGAGTCTCACTCTGTCGCCCAGGCTGGAGTGTAGCAGTGTGATCTCGGTTCACTGCAACCTCCACCTCCAGGGTTCAAGCTATTCTCCTGCCTTGGCCTCCTGAGTAGCTGGGATTACAGGTGCCTGCCACCACACCTGGCTAATTTTTGTGTGTTTTTTTTAGTAGAGACAGGGTTTCAACCATGTTGGCCAGGCTGGTCTTAAACTCATGACGTCAGGTGATCTGCCTGCATCAGCCTCCCAAACTGCTGGGATTACAGGTGTGAGCCACTACGCCTGGCCCTGAAGTCATACGCATTCTTTTTAAGGGCACTTGTTCAATTCCCGAGGATAAACCATATGCTAGGCCATAAAGCAAGTCTTCATACCTGTAAAAGTATTAAAATCATACAAAGTCCATTCTCTGACCAAATAAAATTAAGCTAGAAATCAACAACAGAATGAAATCTGAGATATCCACAAATATTTAGAAACTGAATAACACCTTTCTAAATAGCCTGTGGGTTAAAGAAATCACAAGTAGACTTCAAAAATATTTTGAATGTAGCGAAAATAAAACCACAACATATCAAAAGTCATAGGATGCAAAAACAAAATGAACCAGTGCGAGGGATATTTATGGGTATTTATGGCTTTCAGTGCCTATATTTTAAAACAAAAAAGGCTTATCAATTACTTAAGCTTCTACCTTAGTAAACTGGAAAAATAAGAGCCAACCAAACCCAAAACAAGCAGAAGGAAAGTAGAAAGAAAGAATTCTTTCTTTAATTAGAAAGAATGTAGGGCCTGGCATGGTGGCTCACACCTGTAATCCCAGCACTTTGGGAGGCCAAGGCGGGCAGATCACAAGGTCAGGAGATCAAGAGCATCCTGGCTAACATGGTGAAACTCCATCTCTACTAAAAATACAAAAATTAGCCAGATGTGGTGGCACGTGCCTGTAGTCCCACCTACTCTCGAGGCTGAGGCAAGAGAATCGCTTGAACCTGGGAGGCGGAGGTTGCAGTGAGCCGAGATTGTGCCGCTGCACTCCAGCCTGAACCACAGAGTGAGACCCCATCTCAAAATAAAATAAAATAGGAATGTAGGCCTGGCGTGGTGGCTTACACCTATAATCCCAGTACTTTGGGAGGCTGAGGCAAGTGGACCACCTGAGGTCAGGAGTTCAAGACCAGCCTGGGCAACATGGTGAAATCCTGTCTCTACTAAAAATACAAAATTTTGCCAGGCCTGGTGGTGTGCGCTTGTAATGCCAGCTACTCAAGAGGGTGAGGCAGGAGAATCACTTTAACCTAGGAGGCAGAGGTTACAGTGAGCCGAAATTGTTCCACTACACTCCAGCATGGGTGACAGAGTGAGACTCCATCTCAAAAAAAAAACAAAACCCAGGCCCAGGCCCACATGACTTGACAAGGTTTGTCTGAATTCTGTTTTTTTTTTTGTCAGGATCTCACTCACTCTGTCACCCAGGCTGGAGTGCAGTGACAGGATCTNCTGGGTTCAAGTGATTCTTATGCCTCAGCCTACCAGAACAGCTGGGATCACAGGTGCCTGGTTAATTTTAGTATTTTTAGTACAGGCAGAGTTTTACCATGTTGGCCAGGCTAGTCTCAAACTTCTGGCCTCAAGTGATCTACCTCCCTCAGCCTCCCACAGTACTGGGCTTAACCACACCCGGCTGGTTTGTTTGAATTCTGTTAAACATTTAAACATTTAAAGATGAAATAATACCAATATTACCTATATTGGTAATATTAATAATATTACCAATTAATAATAATGCCAACAATACCAATATTTCACCAACTCTGAAAACAGAAGAGGAAAGAATGTTTCCCAACTCTTTTTTTAAATGTTTAGACAGGTCTGTCTCTGTCACCCAGGCAGGGGTACAGTGGAATAAACATGGCTCATTGTAGCCTCCACCTTCCAGGCTCAAGTGAATAGTCCCATCTCAGCCTCCTGAGTAGCTGGGGCTACAGGCGTGTACCACCATGTCCGGCTAATTGTTTGTATTTTTAGTAGAGAAAGGGTTTGACCATTGCCCAGGCTGGTCTCAAATTCCTGTGCTCAAGCAATTTACCCACTTCGACCTCCCAAAGTGCTAGGATTACAGGCATGAACCACCATGCCTGTCTCCCCAACTCTGTTTTTTATTTTTATTTTTTTTTTTTGAGATGGAGTTTCACTTTTGTCGCCCAGGCTGGAGTGCAGTGGCACGATCTCAGCTCACTGCAACCTCCACCTCCTGGGGTCAAGCAATTCTCCTCTGCATCTCAAGTGGCTGGGATTACAGGCTTACACTACCATGCCCAGATAATTTTTTTGTATCTTTAGTAGAGATAGGGTTTCACCATGTTGGCCAGGCTGGTCTTGAACTACTGACTTCATGATCCGCCCACGTTGGCCTCCCAAAGTGCTGGGATTATAGGCATGAGCCACCACGCCCAGCCACTGCTGAAAGAAATTAAAGACCTAGATAAATGAAAAAGCATTCCATGTTCATGGGTTAGAATTTGTTTTGTTTTGTTTTTTTAATTTTCCCACAAGATTTAGAATTGATAGAATTTTTTTTTTTTTTTTTT